CTCTAGTAGTTATTTTGGCGTTGCTTTGTAGTGGCCCGGCCGGACTTGGACCAGTTGCCATAGCGAAATGTTGTCTTTGGCTGGTGCTTAAGGTGGATTCAGTTATGGGGGGAGAGGAGTTGGTGGTAGAGGGCAGTGCCAGGCTTCACACAACAGTTACATACCAGTTACACAGCCAAGAGGCCTGCTTTACACCAGGCATGAGGAGCTGTGTGGGAGGACGGAGCACATTTTTGAGCTTTCGCAAAATTTGTACCAACTGAGACACAAATCCTAGCCACCCACTTACCAAAGCAGACATTCACTTTCGTAATCGGCCAGAGAAGCCAAAAATATTCCTTCGTAGTCCTTTGAAATCCCACTCCTCTCTGTGTGCGCCACTATGCCCTCTTCAAGTCTGATGTCATGAGAGTCCGAGTGGGATCAAAGGCTACATGGGCCATCGGCATGACGACAAGTTCCACGGCAACCGCCAGGACTTTCAACCATTACAGGAAGTCAGGAAAGACCATTCAAGCATGTCGTGTCCTCTTAACAAAGTGGTACACAATGAAACTGAGTGACATTTTGGCAAAGCTATTTAAAGGTAGGCCATATAAGCAAAACTCAGAAATTGCTGTTTTGAAGATATATGAGACATAAATTGAGAAATCTGTCAAAAAAGTGATAAAATACAGAGGGTATGAGGTGTTATTTTGCCTCTTGCCTCGGTTCTATAAAAATGTCATTACTCTGCCTGAAATATTCCACGGTATGACTTTAAACAGCCCTACCTCACATTCATACAATTACAGATGGTTTTACTGCTCAAAAATACCTAGAAAAAACAGGCATTCTGACTGTGAGCAGGGTTGCCTCTCCACAGATCCGACCTGTAACTCGGTTTGGATTGGTCCCATAGTGATTTAGTTTATATATCAAACACAGTGGGTCTTGGTAGTGGCAAAGAGGAGTGAGACAGCAAAAATTAAAGAAATTCAAGTCAATGTCAATTTTTCATACCAAAGCTTTTACAAACATAAACTAGGCAAGAAGTTGTCAAATAAATTCCTTCCAAGTCTGAACGCTGCTCCAAACCACATGCTTTTACTGATAGAGGATTGTCTGTAGATCTTCCAATAAAAAAATGCAGATCAGTGACAATTTGATCTCAATTTAATATCAGTTTGATTAATATTCAATCAGTTGCACAGCCCCAGGTCTGTTCTGTGCCCGTGGAGGATGGGCAGCTGGGTTGGCACATGGAGGTCAGGGTTTAGCGTCCCCGTAGTCTCGCAGGAAGCAGACAGGAAGTACAGGAAAAAACTGTGTACATATACATGACACGCCAGCGCTTTGGTGAGGGCAGCACGTGGGCTTCAGACCAGACCCCCCTCTCCACCATTTCCTCTGCGGTTGAAACTCGCTGATGTCAGGGTAACAAAGATGTCTGGCCGATAAAATCCGTCTTTTGCTCAAATAATGCATAGAAAAATTAGAGCTAGACCAGCATATTGAGCTGATATTTGTCCTTTTCAGTGTAGTGGCTATCGGCTGTAAATCTCCAGCAGGGGCCGATATTTTGTTTGAGTCGACCTGCCTAAAGATTGTGCATAAAGCTTTATTTGAAAATTTTAGTATGAAGAGGTAAACATGACTCAACTGTTCTCTTAAAGGTTTGTGGTTAAAAAAAGGACTGTGAGTGAGTTTGTAGTGAATTTAAAATACAATATTTGGGGAAAATAATCAAAACATATCAGCTCAAAAATATTGGCAGAGCTGATCGCCTACAGTTAGTACAACAATACAACAATTGGTATCGACATCGGTCATGAAAAAAAAAAAAAAAAAAAAGTCAGTCGATCTCTAATAAAAATGTTGATATTGTCTCAGATTAGCACCATACTTGCCAGTTTAATCAAAGATGTATGGTCATATCATCATATTGTGATTCACTATTTCTCTTTGTAATACGGCTCAACTTCAGCCTCTGTAAGTCTCCGAGTGAGTGACAGGTGGATTTAGCCAAGCACAGTGAAGTGTGAATTTTCATAAGAAGACGATGACGTTGTTTACCTCTTAAAGGCAATATTAAGATACATTAATCAAAATCAAACTCATATCTGTCTCCGAGAAAATTGTGGTATTAATGTTTCGTCATTTCTCTAATCCCCAGGAGTATTCACTTTAAGGATAAGAGAAAACTTGACACTAAAGAAAATGCTTGATACAAGATACCAATTTTGACGTTCCAATAAATCTCTTTTATACACAACAGAACGTCATTTCACACAGGGAGATGAAGCATGGAGGTTTAAGCTATGGCCTCTCTGACCACCAAAATCTAATCATGCAGACAAGGTTGCCTTAGGACACAATTACAGAAGAAATTGACCTGACAATCACAGGATTTAGTGAAAGATTCTTAACCATCATCTGAGCGAGCAAAAGGCAAGCCCCTTCCTCCAGTCCAAAACAACTACATAATTACAGCTGACCAGTGCCTTCAGCATTACCAGCAGTATTGTATTCCCAGACGCACTATATTTAGACATGGATTAGAACAAACAGCAATTTTTCCAGCCCGTGCAATAGCTGGGCCTGGTGTAATTAAATGGAATCTAATTTGAGCAGACGATACCCTAACAGTTTTGGCGGCAAAGAGGAGCAGGCTCTTTGGGTTCAGGGAGAGGCCAGTCGGGCAGGGCGAGTGCAGACGTGGGGTGCCAGACGAAGCGGGTGACAGTGTACCAGTGGGCAAAGGACCCAGGGCGCCACTGGGTATTGGCGGGTACAGGGGGCTCGGGGGGGTGAGGACTGCCCTGTCTGGACCAAGCAAAAGCACTGGTGCCAACTGAAAGCACCCAGCTGTGATGAGAGTGCCGCTGTTGTATCAGTTAAGATCCTAGTTTTCTGGGAATTACACGGACTCATAAGATCACTGGTTTGGTAGCTGACCAAGCTGAGCTCAGATGTAGTCTTGGTTTGGTTCTGTCCAAGTCCTGGTTTAGTCCTGGTCTACAGAGTTCCAGGTTTAGTCCCAGTTTAGATGAATAAAAGTCATTCTGATTTTGATGTGGTGATGTACAAATGTGAATTAAGCATATTAACAGCATAAGTACACGGTGATAGAAGTTATGGAGTTTGTTTTTATTTATATCATTAGATCCTTAGCTACAGAAACAACAGTCGCAAATAAATACTTGAGTTTGTGGTGTTGTTTTAGTATTTATTATGCTTAGCTTTAGCACTGAGACACAAGCATCTCTCTTTTTAAACACAGAAGTACTTTTTAACATGTTTTCAGTCCTGTCCACTCACAACTCACTTTCCCGTGCCCTCTCTTTAAATATTTATTCATTTTTGCACAACTCACTACACAATTGGACAGGAAGTATTGACGCTAAGTATGATTGCCGGGTGGTGTTGTGCTCAGAGACTATTACCATCTTTTAAAAACATAAACACAAGACTGCATTCGCAATGTTTGTACTTAAAACAACTCTGTGCAAGATGTGGTTTTTGCGTAGGGTGGCCTTTGGGAGGGACCAACCCATGTTGTTGATCGGTCTCTCCATCAATCAAAACATTTCATACACACTGCAGGATGTTTTCAAACTCGTGCTGTTATATAATGGTTGTTTAGCTACATTTTACATATAACGCCTAAAGGTAACACACATCAAATAGGACGCAATGGTGATTTCGTAGAATGTAATCCAAAACTAATACAGCAAAAACAATAACATTTCACCATCTTACCAAAAGGTGGAGTAACACATTTAAACAGTAGCTATTATCCACATTTGTATCTATTTACATTATTTTTTATGACCAATATGACTACTATTTTTGTCAAACTCGCTTTAAATCTTTGGTTCAAGCATAGTAATAATCCACAATGTACTATCTAGGATGTGAGATGAGGTAGTAGAGGAGTTTACACTTGCTCCTACTCCTTACACAATACAATATTCACAATAATAGTTTGTGTTGATATCATAATATTTCATGTTGCTCAAATACATGAACTGAACTGAACAATGTACCATTTCTACAGGTGCTACTCCTCCATCACAGCAGCCATGGTAAAATTATGCAAGTACTCGTGTCATATTAGGTCATTGAAGAAAGTGGATCATTTGCATGTCTATACAACACAAGGGCTCCTTAAATTATTATAAGGCTGCTCTCTTTCTGTCACTGCCCATGCACTGGATAAATGGGACTATAGCTGGTCCGTCCCATCCGCTGCCCCCCCCCATCCTCCAGGGGGATGTTGGTACATTCCATTAAGAGGAACACTTAATTAAAGCATGATAAAATACCACTTCGAGACTCCAGAGGGGTCTGAGCACAAAAAGGGGAGGGAGCAGACAAGCAGCAGATGGGAGGGGCTAATAAACCTCTAGTTAAGTCCTATACAATTGTTCAGCTTTATACCAGTGAAGTGAAATGCACAGAGGTAGACCATATACCAAAATGCTGAAGGTAAAATTTGAAAATAATTTATAATGAAAAAGAAAATCTCAAAATGTTGCAGAGGTGTTGAATTGTATTGTAAACTTCCAAATAATGGTGCACTTCTTCACAGATCTTTCAAGGGCTATTTTCTGATTTATGTTATAATGTTTTCTCATCACAAACACACGTGGAGTTTTTGTTTTGTTTATTTATATGTTTAACACGTACACCCTGCATATTTAAGGAAACAGAAAACATTTTATTCCACCCAGTGTTTGTTTTTGCAGAGGTAGCAGCATTATAACATGGTTTAAAGTTCACTAGAGTTAATTTTGTTTAATATAGGCCCTTCAACATTTGTCAGTTTTAGTTGAGATTTAAATTTAATCTAAAGATATGTCAAGGTACATTTCTGTTGGATTTGTTGGCCATAATATCTTCTTTGATTATTGTGAAAAAATATATCAGTATATTTGTTTTCATCAGTATTGCCCATAAATGCCCATAACATTATTATATATCACACAGAAGCAATAACAACAACCCCATTTTCTTACCTTTCCGAGCACAGTCAGGCAGCTGGGGTCTAACTCCGGCTGCTCCAGCTTCACCACTCCGACCCAGCCGTACTCATATAGGTCCTCTTCATCATTGTTGTTACATAGTCCCAGAGGATGCATCTGCAAACCAAACAGTGGGCTCATTAGCATACAAATTATAGGACCTTAGTTCAAACCTGAGCCTGCATAGATGTGAAGTATCTATGCAGACACATAAATAATTGATAACCATATTAATAAACCTTTTTTAATAATAATACATGATTTATATTGGTGGTTTTCATAGTGATATTTTGCACATCATGCTGGGGGTGTTCTACATGTATGCCTATCTCTATGGTGGAATGTCATGCATACATTAGCATTGTAGCATTGCGGATTTAAACAACAGATTTTCAGGAGCCTATGAAGTGTCCATTTAGGAATTTCAAATGTGACTTACTGAAACAATGTTTGACTTGAGACTTTTTTGTTTGTTGAGCACAAATCATCTCACCTGTTATAGTTCCAGTTAGTTCTTTATGGTCAGACTGTGTTAAAATAAAGGTCAGATTAAAGTCTAACTTGCATAACAGAGCTTCAGATTGAGCAGAGTCTTAACTTCACACCCCCAGTGAATGAATGAAAAATACAACAATCATTTTGCTGCCCCTAAATATTCCTGACCTATAGAAAGAATATGAATGTAATATGAATCCAAAAACAGAGCAATACATAATTTCAAGTATAAGATACTTCACATTAGAAAATTTAACTGATTCTCAAAATGACAACAAATACAGTAAACGCTGCACGCAACACACGGTACCATGTCCTCTTACTTTTTAAAGATATGGGATACATAAATCTATGTAAATAAAGAAGGTAGAAAAAACAATCCAAACAAATAGTTGATGTCCAGTCTACTACAAGCCATTCTTTTTTAGCCCCATAGTTCCTAACCTCACCTCACCCTGCTACACATCACACAATTCACACAATAAGACACTTAAACTATAGCACCAGATGGGCCAGGATTAATGTACTTGCCTGAATCTGCTGAAGAGGCATTTTTTACATTACTACTTTAAGCAGTGGTGTCTAGTTTCCCACATGTGCTCTATATGATTAATAACACCAGTATTTCTTTGTTATGTGGACAAAAAGATGCAGTATCGTTGAATTTTACTCTCCTTGAAGCACAACAGTGGGTGCATTTACGTAAAAATCAGACTAGAATCAACTAGAATAATTAGACAGTAATATGATGTGATAATTGCTGTATTTTGACATCATGATTGTCTGTGGTGACATTTTTATATAGTGTTTTTCCACCTTCAAGGAACTCAATGCGCTTTACATCAAGAACACACAAATTCAAACACCAGTGAGCGCAGACAATGGGGCAAAGTGGATTAAATGTCTCGCCCAAGGACACAACAACGGCATTTAATGTTTACGTCAAGAGCGGGATTCGAACTGCCAACTTTCGGATCAGAAAACTAACACTCCACATGGCACGTGAACTACTGCCATCCTATCAAAAACTTGGCAATATGCTTGATTTGGTACATGTTCAGTTTTTTTTTTTTTTTTAGTAACTTTTGTTTCTGGAAGACAAAATCAGTTAGTTAGCCCCTTTATGCATCAGATAATCACAAACATAGCCACTGTCTCTTAAGTTAGCCTCACACAGGGCAAGTAAATTGGCCCAGTTTTTGTTGCCAGAGGAGCTGAGCACTGCCCGCCTTTAGAAGATGTCTGTAAAGGAGATTAAAGCCAACGGAAGTCAGACATCACAAACACTGAGTCACTGCCAGGCTCCAAAAAGAGGTGGTGGCCTCCTTAATTGCGAGCTGACAAAAGCACTTATCTTGAAACATTTATCTCAAAGGGCTCCTCTAACTCGGCCCATGGGTACAAAGTGAACAGCATGATAAAAGGAAAGATTCACTGTGGTTAGAAACAAAATAAAACATAAACGTTGTGATGATAAGGCCTGTCACAATAATTGCTATATTGACTTATCGTTCATTATGACAACTGGAACAACATATTTTGGAGCTCAGTATTTATCATTTTCTTAGCATTTTTGTTATTTTAGTTGTAATATGCTAAGATTTGATCTATATAGAGAAGAATAAATAACTTCTATGCCTAATTATGGGTTCATTGTGCTATTTGTTGCAGCTCAGGACTTGTAATGATACCGTCTATTTAAAAAGGGTTTACTGGGATTATCTTACTGGCATAAAGTAGTTTCAGTGTTATCGCAATATTTCTCTGTAGCATTATATCATCCTATCAAAACTTTTGGATTCTGTGTTAAGACTTTTCTACGAAACTAAGTCAGTGTCTACAATTGATTATGTAAAATGTGTGAAAGTAGTGATGACATGATGAGGTCTGTGTGATCAGTAGAGGTGTAACGATATCCAAGTCTTGTGATACGATATTGTCATGGCATGAACCTCACGGTAAGATATTTATTGCGATATTGTGGGAAAGCTCACGATATATTGGGGAGGCTCATGATTAGAGATGTAACAACATCCAAATCTCTTGGTATGATATTTTCACAATATACATCTCATGGGAAGATATTTATTGTGATATTTTGTGGACATTAACAAAACTGTTAATATGCTACTTTTTCCTTTTAAAATGCCTTGATGAGTCTTAATCCAAAGAACTAAGACTTAAAGGTGCTTAGAAGTGTTATTTCTTCATGTATTCTACACTGAAATGGAGCAAAGGATCATGGTTTATGTAGTTCCCTCTGCCTTTTGTAGCTATTGCTGCACATAACTCTTAATTTAAGCAAAGAGACTTGCAATTCGATATATTGTGATGGTCCATGATAATATTGTGAGAACTATGACGATACAATATCACGATATTTTGGTTACTGTTACATCCCTGGTGATCAGTTGTGTTTTAACAGTGCTCATGGCTTCATTCAGTTACGAAAGTGGTGGGAAACTATCATGGGCTCTTGTTCTGGAGACCAAACCAGACCAAGTTACAGGTCAAATCTGTGGAGAGGTAACCCCGCTCACAGTCAGAATGCCTGTTTTACTAGGTATTTTTGGGCTAGAAAACTACAAGCAGGTGACAAACCCTCCACCAGAAAAGTTGCGCAATGCACTTTTAAAGCAACAAAAATAAAAGATGAGATTAAGAGTGTCACCAATGAAAGGGTTGAAAATCCTGCAGTAATCCCACTGGGCAACGGAGCACGGCCTAGCTCCAGTATTAACATTCGAAGTGGGCCAAACTCAACTCCAGGTCACTTTATCCTATTAACCCAATGACCAAAACACCCCAATGAGCCAGGACTATGGGCGCCAAACTGTGGACCACTCTAGCCCCAAGCCAAAGAAGATGACCACCGCTGATAGCCCTATTCTGTGACCTCTGAACCCTGCTGCATCGCATGGGTAGCAGGTTAGCATTGCGATGGAGCTATTGAAGGATCTATTGAAAAGGTGCCTACTTCAGTGCCATTGGGCCCACGGGTCAAGCCTCTGACCTGAGGGGATTTTGGACAAGAGTAAAAGGGGTTCAAATGCAAATCAGCTGGACTCTGGGAAGAGAAGAACCAGGAAGGAATGCGAACATCGTGTGCCACTAGTTTAGAGAGTCGTTCAGCGGAGATAATCTGATCAAAATATGGAAATCCTTAACACTTTGAAAGCAAGCAGAAAGAGATACTAACAATGCAAGATACTGAATTGTAAAAGAGGCAGGATGTTAGGTATTTTCACGTATGTTTAAAAGGTTCCATATTCAGAGTTTTAAGCCATGTTACGCTGTTACCTCCTCAAAAACATGAACACCTGGAGTTGAGTTTTTTCAATTCAATCATGTTTGGAGATGTAGACAGACTAATAATAAAGGGTTACTCAAAACCCAAAATGCTCCACCTCGTGATGTAATGTAGTGATAGTTTTTAAGTTAACAGCTACCTTTATCTTTAGTTCAGTAGAGATTGGTTATTTCAGGCTGAATTTCAACTATAATTGCCAAACGGTTGTAGTGAATGTATGTGGAGTTTAAAAACACAGTGGAGCACTTAGTGTATTTCCATATGACATCACAAGGTGGAACAGAGTGTTTTTTGTTTGAGAGAAGCCTAAATATTCAGGGTTTGTGTATTAAACAAGTGTGAATGAAACAAAACACAACACCAAGTATGTCTGTGATGAAGAAACATTGCATTTAACTATGTCTGGCTATTTAGTATTTAATATTTTTTTCTTGAATGCTTAAAGGAAGAATAGGTATGTATTTGAAATTTCATAAACATTACTTATTCATGTCTCCAGATTTGTATGTATATGTATTGTAACACATTATTATAGGCTCTCATTGGGTTGCCAGTTCCAATGACTAAAACCAGCCGAACATCTCTCTGATCTAAATTCTCACTACTTAAACCCCAGCGCCTACATGAATCAGTTCTATTTCCTAAATGACAGAATGTAATGATTAAAAAGTCTGTTATGGTAGTTGCCTAAAACACTGAGCAAAGCATTATGGTTTATTTAGTTTGCTGCTTTTTACCACTCTGCTTTGATTGTCCATTACTGCATACAGATCATCCTAATTTACCTAAAGCTGAAGCCTGATGAAGCACAACAAAGACTTTGCATTGATGAAGAGACATAGTAACAGCTTGTTCCAGGTGCTTTTTCTGTTTAAAAGATGTAGAAAATCTGATTTGATAGAGAACACAATTTATCCTTGAATCTTCCTACGCAGGCCTCCCACGCACTGAATACAGAGTGTAAACTAGCACGTTTTGGCCTGTCAATAGGAGTCCTTGAAAAACTAAATCTTTTTTACACCTGACATGGAAGGAACTCAGACAAAAGACAAGGTCAGGGCTAGTTTGAACCCTGCAGCATCTGCTCAGCCACAAAGCTTGAATGAGCGAGCTGGCATTTTGATACGCTTGGTGAAATTATCTGGTTATTAGGAGAATTACATCAGGTAAAATATAAAAACAGGAGTGACTCTGAATTGACAGTTGAGAATGAATGTGTATTATTTTATTAACTTCATAAAATAGCTAATCAAACCTTCAATTACAGTGTGTTGAAATCTTAAACGGTTCACCATTGTAACCAAAGATAACT